AAGGAAAAAGGAAAAAGGAAATACCTTGTTACTTGGGCAAGTGTAGTTATGAAAAGGGAAGCTAAACTTGCAGTCTGTGAATAGATTTCATACCCGTGATGTACTTTGACGATCTGCTTCTGTTGCGGGTCTTGTTTCTTTCAATTGAGAGAAGGTAGGAAAGCAAGCAGTAGAGAACAGAAACAATAAGCGGCTGAGTTATTACGCGGCTGTGACTATTTAATGGTAACAGCCAATGAAATGAAAGTTGCTTTTGGCTGTAAATGAAGTGGGGCCAAGTTTAACTCATGATGTAATGATGTATAGTGAAGATTGAGATAGTAACGGTTCGTCGTTTTGTGCCTGAAAAACCGATAAATAAAACCCGAGTTGAATGTACCCAAAAAAAAGAAAACCCGAGTTGAAGGCTTTTTTTTTTTTTTTTTCCTAATCTTATTTGCACCTATGCTATCCCATCTCCATTTTAACTGTATTATATACTATTTAAATTTTAAAATTCTAAAACAAAGTTATTATTAAATTATTTAATAGTTGGTTGATTTAAAAGGTTTTGAGTAATATGAGTGGTATTTTTATTTCTCTTTTTTTTTAATGTAAATTTTATTTATCCAAAATAACAATACAATGCAATATAGCAACAAGCTACTACAAAGAATAAATACCAACAAACAATATCAAAATACACAAATAAGTGAACTACCCTACAAAATTTAGTCTTGCACCACTATTTCAAGCCCTCATTGACATGCAATGGATCTTGGCTGAGCAAAACCTAGAATCTTACACCTAACATTAGATTTAATTTCATGTACAATAACATTGTAATTCTTAAAAATTTTCTAGTGAATTCTCTTGTTCTTGTCCATCCAAATATGGTAAATTGCAGCATTCCATGCTAACTTGATTAAAACACAATATAAGGATTTTCTTCTAACATTTTTCCCCATCCAACTTAGCAAGCCACTCCAAGAATCCCCATCCAACTTAGCAAGCCACTCCAAGAATCAGTGAAAAGGATGGCAAGCATGCTGTTGAGCTACTACCATACTCTTCTTGCATAACTGCATTTAACAAATTGGTGCTCATTCATTTCAAAATTGTTGTTGCACGGGATGCAAGTATTAGGGATAACAAGAGTCCATTTCTTGTGCCTAGCCCTTGTGCTCAATCTATTGAGAATAGCTAGCCAACTTATGAAACTATGCTTGGAAATAGCCTGAGAGAACCAAATCAACTTATACCATATTTTCCTATCTTGCTTGCTTCTTAACCAATGCCAAGTTTGCCCAGTTTTGAAAGAGACCAAAGCGGAAGGTAACCATACTACTGAATCCTTCTCTCTTTCCTTTGGGTAGAAATCAAATCAATGCATTTGAATTTGCACTAGTTGGGGGGGAGATCTAGCAAGAGGCCATTTCCAAAAGCCACCATTTATTACTCTAGCCAGCTTTGCTTGGGAAGGCAACCTTACATCTTGAATAACAAAAGATGCCATACACTTGTAATAAAGGGCGGAAGAATGCCAGTTGTCATGCTAAATATATATATACATATCTTGGCCATCACTTGGTACATGTTGAATAGGCTTCCTAGCCAGTTGTCATAGCTTCAAAATTTTCCTCCATCCCTAAGAAGCATCAACAGGTATTTTAACAGTCCAGAAACTATTGCCCCTGAGTAAATAATCATGGACCCACGCTACCCAAACTGAACCTGCTTTAGAGAACAATAACCAGATAAATTTGAGAATGCAAGTTTGATTCTAGTGCACCAAGTTTTTTAGTCCTAAGCCACCTTCTTGCTTGGGAGTACAAATAGTAGCCCATTTTACCTTGGCCCCTTTAACACTATGAGTGTCATTATTCCACATAAAGGCACCAAAAATTTTCTCCACTTCTTCGATGACCCATTTAAGCAGTATAAAAATAGAACACCAAAAATTTATTATCTCCTAAATGAGAGAAGAAATCAATTGCAATGTTCCAACAAAAGAGAGGTGTTTTGTTGCCCATGAAGTCATCCTTTCAATTATTTTAGACACCAAGGGTCTAAGATCTTTTTGAGTCAGTTTACCTGTGATCAATGGCATACCTAAGTATCTAACTAGTAGTGCTCCAGCTTTGAACACAAACCTATCAATAAGCTATTGTAGTTGATTTGCAAAAAGACCAACAAAAAAAAGTTCTAATTTAGCATAATTGACTCGTAAACTAGATATCTCATAAAATTTCTTCAGGACATTATCAACAGCCTCAAGAGAAGAGAGACTACCATCATTGAATATAACTAGGTCATCAGCAAAACAAAGATGTGTAAGCTGCACCCTCTTGCATTTAAGATGGTATGCAATCTTCCCTTCTTCAATTGCCCTATTCAACATTCTACAAAGAACCTCCATGCAAACCATAAAAATATATGGTGATAAGGGGTCTCCTTGCCTCACACCCTTTCTTCTAAGAAAATATCCACATAAGTTGCCATTAAACACACCTGAAAACATTGGAGTAGTTATGCAAGCTCTAATCCAATTTACAAATTGGCTAGGAAATCCAAGTGAGAGCAGAATCTAAAAAATAAAATCCCATAATACTGAGTTAAAAGCTTTCATAAGATCTATCTTCAAGGCGCACCTTGAGCTTAAGCCCTGCTTGCGGTAGCCTTTTACCAGTTCCTAAGCTAGCAAAATATTTTCTACCATCAATCTTCTCTCCGCAAAGGCACTTGGCTATTTTTAATGAATAAGGACAGGCACTTTTTGAGCCTATTGCCCAAAATCTTTGTTATGAACTTATATAATAAGTTGCAATAAGAAATAGGCTTGAATTCCATCATTTTTTTTTTGCTTTTGAGTCTTTGGTACTAGGGAAATAATGGTAGAATTCACTTGCTTCAATAATTGTCCAAAGGAGAAGAATTCTTGTATTGCCTTTGTAACTAAATCTCCCACAATAGGCCATGCAAACCAACAACCTAAGTGCTTGGTCTGTCTTTTTTGGGTAATGGGAGAGACAAAGAGAAAGTCTTTTTTTTTTTTTTTGGGGTCAAATGCTACTGTAAAAAGTTCCAATTATACCTTTAATTAACTTAATTAGCTTTGTAACCAACAACCTAAGTGCTTAGTAGTAGTGTCCTTCTACTAAAACTAAAACATCTAGAGTTTAAGTTATATGATATGTAAGTAAAGTATATTAAGAGATAAAGAAGAATTGTTACTTATTGTTTAATTTAAAATAAGAAAAAAGAAAATTTAATTAGCTTCGTAGGTTGATATGTGCTCACCTCTTAAGGATTGATGGATGCACATGTATTGTCACAATTAAGTTATTAGTTTCGAGTCACATGAATAATAAGATAAATACTTAATACTTAAAGGAAAAATAGCTTAGTTGGTAAGATAGTTTGTTTTTTACTTTTTTAACAAAAATTTGATTTCTTAAAAAGCTAATGAAAAAATAATTCTTTATAAATTTTCTAATTTTTATGTGAATAGTCTACATTTGATCAGATCATAGAGGAATTAATTTTGAGGTGCATGAAATATGACCTAGAGATACTCTAAGCATTAAAAAAATTATTTAATGCTTAATAGGGTTTTTTTTTTTTTTTTTAACTTGTGTCATAGCATAGAGTAAGGGTACATTTTTCATCATAAATTATATGAAAAAATGTAAAAGTTAACATTAATTTCAGTGTTATTACTACATTGATAAATTTAATTAATGATTGATAAATTAAATGTCAATTTTTATTTTTTTAAGGTAAGACACTTGTTAGAAAAACCTTAACTAATAAATTTAAATCTAAGATTTCCTAAGAAAAGTGTTACATGATTTAAAGTTCCTAAAAAAGATAAAGACATTTTTTTCAGCTTCTACTGAAATTTCACAAGGGAACCTTTTTATAATCCAAAGTAAATGGTGTGTCAATAATTTTTTTGTTTTTTGAATGGATTGCAATTTTGGCGAGGGGGGATTTGAATTATAACTTCAAGGTTGGGAGATGCACCTTATGACCAACCATACAATCATTGGGTTATGAAGCCCAAGTGGATGGTGTGTCAATATCATTCTTTCCAATCTTGAGGATTCATTTCTAAATTTAGCTATGAAATGGATTTAACTTGTAGCCCAGAAAAAACAAATAATAAAGCCTACCGCATAGAGAATAAATAGCAAAGCCCATGATTTTGTCTTGGGCTTGTAGAGAAGAAAAGACCAGAACCAAATTAATAATGAGAAGCCCAAAACTGTGTGGGTTTTCCAGGAACGAGGACAAAGCCCAACTACTTTCCTTACTTCCACGAAGCATATGCCGAATTGAATGAGAAAAATATCAGATTCTTGGGAACACAAGAAAGCACGTCTTCTTGTCAATTTCTTTGTAATCAAACAAAACTAAGCAAACAACTTCAATGATAAAGACCCCAAACCAAACTGGTTTCCAAATTTCCACAAAACAATATTCCGAATTGAATTCTAATTTCTAAACTTTTACCATACATTCCCAGCAGTTTCCAACTGAAAATATGTATTGATTTGTTTTTATTATTAGATTAAAACGATACACTTTATTGAGTATGTGCAATCAAATTCTTAAGTTTTTCTTCTTTTTTGTTGACCAAAGAAAAGTTTGTTCTTAATCATATTATATGAATTAGAACCTATTATTTCAACCTTAAAATTAAGATTTTATAGTTGTTCTTGCGTAGTATACCCATACATTAATGGCTAAAATAAAAGAAAATTTTGAAAATAGGAATAATCAATGTTTGGGAGTAGCTAATACTCTAAGGGTTTGAGTAGTTTTTATATTTTATTTAATGAAGTTTCTTTCTTTTAAAAATAATAATAATAAGGGAAGAATTAAACCATAAAAAGTGGGGGTGGGGGTGGGGGAAACAAAAGCCAAACCTATACCATTCCATGACCCAAAACTTCCACATGAAGCCAAATCTTCCAAAAAAAAAAAATGATCTTCTACAGGAATCAAAATTGTGATTGTCACCTTGCCCCCAACTTTTTCCACACATTACTTCTAAGAAACTTCCTTCACAATTTAGCCTCCACACACCCATACAATTTATTAAAAAAAAAAAAAAGAGAGGAAAGAAAGAAGAAGAAGGGAAGGAGAAGAAAATTTTGGACATTGACAACTCCAATCAAGGTAGGTAA